ATGATCCATATACGATGATATACCCACATTGCACGTCACAAGTGTAAGTAAATCATACTAATCACACAATCCTTATGGTCCAAATCACTACAATGACATACTCATTGATGCATTGTCAACAAATTTGGCATTTTATAGTCGTGTCATCTCATATGGACATTTCATCAAATAAAAGATGTTCAAAAACTCAATATCATCATATATGCATGCTTTTCAAGGGTAAATTTCACAAGTCACACATATAAATGTTCATATACCAATCTCATAGATAAACATAATACATAAGGTACTTGAATTGCGAGTAATTATACATACCAACAGTAAATACTTTAACAATCACAAATAATCTTAACAATGGGCCAATTAAGCATGTTATATATGAAATCCAATACAATGAGTGTTTAGTACATCAATGACATGTGATTATATCATCAATTACATACTTTACATTCAACTCACACAAACATATGCATGTATAACTCATACTATGCTAATAAAACCCCAAGAAATCCTAGGTAATAAAAAAATAATACACCCCTACCTCATTCTAGGAGCAAACCCTAGAAATCTCCAAACCAAAAGTGCTCCAAATACGAAATCAACTCCATAGGGTTGAAGAGGATAAAGAGGAGAGTATAAAATCCTCTTGTGGCCTCTCTAAAATCCATGCTTGAACTCACACCCGAATATCCAAGTTGCTCCAAATCAGAAAAAAGAAGAAGAAGAGGGGTTTGAAGGCCTTGGTGTCCCCGTCCTCTTTCCTTTCTATGGCTAGTGAAGAAGCTCAAGGGAAAGGGGTGAAAAATGAGCTTGAAGCTCTAGGTAAATAGTGATAATGCAGTTTTGGTGAGAGAGGAAGAAGATGAAGTGTAAAGAGAAAAACAGAATGATGTAAAGAAATAGAGAGATATTTGTAAAATATTATCCCGCACACACTCTAGCACAACATCTCTCCACACAGACACATCCACCATACACTTGTCACACACACACCCCCTCATCATCTACCATCCATTCCTAGTCAATAAGTCAAAGGTGGGGCCCACATTCTCTTTAAATGCACTAAAATCCCCAAAGAATGAAATAGTACACACGTGTAAAACAAACCCCACAATGCTAATTTTGGTGGGAGTGCCTCAAATGAAAAATGCAAGATGTCAGAAACTATTCCCGAACACCAACCAACCTGGGGCCCAGATGACCCTAACATGAAAATAGATGGAAAAAGAAAAAAGAGAAAATGGAAAAAGAAAATCGGTCCTCATAGAAAATCATTGTGAAGTTGATTAGATTATATTACTCATATAAGCTATAAAGATTATTATTTAAAAAAGTGGAAAGCATGAAAATTTTAAAAAAAAATAATGAAAAATCCAGCGTGCGTTAAGAGCAAAAAAAAAAAAAAAAAAAAAAAAAAAAAAAAAAAAAAAAATTGCTACATATTGAGATTAGTTCGAAACCTACTAAATGACTTTGAAGTGGAGAAAATTGAGTACAAAGAAAGCGGACCAGTCTAAATAGAGAATTATTGGCTACTCATTAGCGTTGAAGCTGCCTTGCTTAGAAAAAGTTCCTCAAAACATTTTTATCTTGATGTTTTTTTATCAATATATTTTGGACAATAGATCAATGTGGTTTGATTGAAATTTGATGAGTTTGGATTGCACACACACACAAATGAACTTGTTAGGCAAATTTCTAAATTTTTATAAAAATTATAAATTGAATTTCATATTGCAATTGCATGCTTGAGAATTGAAGTAATTGAAGAATCTATGATGTCTAAAAAAAATTTGGTTTTTAAATGTTCTTAAATTCTCCACAAATGTTTGGATCTCATATCTGATTTGAATTCATGAAAATTGCAATCTCAGTGTTTTCTTTCAGGAAAAAAAAAAAAAAAAAAAAAAAAAAATTAAATCAAAAATCCAAAAAAGATTTTTCTTTTAGTCTTCCAAGGAATTTTTAGTTTTTTTTTTTGGTTTTTGTTAATGTCTAGTTTTGACCCAAGTTTTAAACATTGCAATATTGTGTTTGGTGCAGGTTCTGGAAAAACGAAACCGATTGCGTTCCCCAACCTGGTGCGCTATAGGCATGTCTAAGAAATTTGAGACTAGTCAGACAGGACAAGGTAAGCAACCGGTTGCAACGCAATTGCTGCAGTATGGAATTTCTCTCTGGACAAATAGAACCAATTGCGTTTGCCTGAAGCGTGCCCTTTAATAAGTCACATGCGTGCTATAGGTCATATGTTCTCGTTTAAACGGTGAGCCTAGCTTGTAAGCCTCCTTTCGCACTATAAGCACACAACTCCGCTTGTGTTTACAAACTTGAGGTAATCTTCAGTTTTCTTATTCAAAGTGTTGGTTTAAAGTCTTTGTTAGACTATTGTTGCTTTGAGTTGAACTTGGAGGTTGGGGTTATTGTTTGGAGTTTGGGAAAGACCTTTTTTGAAGTTTTTGGTTACTTTAGATTCATTATGCAATGGTTTCCCAATTGTCTTAGGTAAAGTGTCACAAGGCTCAAAAGACTGCTTTTTCTTACTCTTTCTCTTCTTCTTAGCTTTATGATTTTCATGCATGCTGAGAATTAAAGCAAAACAATTTATGCAATTTTTCTTTCAATTCATGTTGCTTCAATTCAATTTCTTCAACTCATTAAGCAAAGACTTTGAACTCTCCAGATTTTCTTTTTTCCCAATTTCAATTTTCATGTTTTGACACTTATACTTGATGTGACCTTTCTCTCCACAAAAATGAAATTTTAAAACAAGTTTAGAGGGACTAGTGATAACAGAAGGTTTAGTCTCAACTTTCACAATAACTTCTTTTGATTTTTGAAATATAAATCTTTTGAAGTTGAAACCAATTATTTGTTATTACTAGTGTCCTTTACCATTCATTTCAACTTATCAAATTTGCAAGTGTTAGTGTCTAATTTCTGAAAAGACTTATTGGTTTTAACAAAATCACTAATCAAACTGTCAATTAATTTTAAGTTCAAGTGATGTATTAAATCCTTTAATAAGTTCAACTTCTTTTTCCAAAAAATTAACCTTATGATGATCTAATTTTTCATGGCCAAGTTCTTAAAAACTTCTAACTTATAAATATCCCCATCAAGTTCCGTAAATTTCAATTTCTCCAACAAAATTTTGAAATCCCTTGTAAACTTGGACCACTCAACATGTATGTTGTGACAGACTCAAAAACTTAAACAGTAGATGCAATATCAAACATGATGTCAAAATCATAACAAATCAACAAATATAATCTACTCAGTATGTTAAGCAAGCCATTTTGATACCAAGTATGAGTAGCGTTGTGTGGCTGCTAATTGATTTAGTTGTGAATTAACTCTCTAAATGACCTAGAGAAGAGTGAATAGGCCAACTTGTCTAATTTTTGTGATTGTTTAAATTACCCAGAATTATGATCAATTAAACATCCACAATTACAAAAATAAATATTATAAAGTAAAGCAAGTAAAGTAAAGATTGAGAGATGACACAATAATTTTTAACGAGGAAAATTAATTGGAAAAACCTTGAGGACTTTCACGATGTCCTAAGCGAAACGATCTATTATGTATGAAGCAAAATACAATGGACTTTTATCAGGCTTACACTCCTTCACTACCAAGACCCAATTTGCCGAATGCCGTCCAACAACTCTCGACTTCAAGCTTACTTCTTGACTTTTGTAGAAAGACTACTAGTATATTAACAACACTTCATGAATATTTGGACCCCTTCAAAGTATAATCCAAATACCCCTCTTCTTCAAATTTGAATTTATGTGAAGGCAAATAATATCATACTTCTTAAAATTTCTGAATCTTCAATTATCCTCCAATTCCGATCAAATAGAGAACATAATTCTAAATCTCTCTTGTGTTTATGTATGTTATCTCAAAAATAAAATCAGAAAAATCAAAGTTAATTTCTTAGATTAAAAATATCTCTCAAAAGGCTTTCACAAAATTTCTAAAATTTGAATTCAAAAAAAATATAGATGTTAGGAAGACCTAAAAATACTTAAAAAAATAAGACAATTTCGTGCATAAAAATCTCCCCAAAAATTAATCAAAAGAGAAACCCAGCTGGACACAAATTGCAATTTCTAATTTGATTTTAAGGACACAAATTGCAATTTCTAATTTGATTTTAAGGAACCTAGACCAGTTGGGAAAAGGCGCAACCAGTCCAATTTTAAATTTAAAACATTTTGTTTTAAGAAACAGAAACTTGAAGCAGTTGAGAAAATTGACAACCAGTCCAACTTTAACAATGCACTCTGGGAAGAAATATTTTTTAAAATATTTACGTAAGTATTGAACTCTAAAATGTTACCGAATATCAACAATATATGTCCTCACAAACTTATCTTGCAATATATGTCCTCACACACTTATCTTTATATATTGTTCTCATCCAAACAGAGTATGTTAACACGTTCCCAATTCTTCAATTTTGCTTCAACGATCGGAGAGAACTCAAAACTCAAGAGTGAAAAAAAAAAAAAATTACAACGGACATCAAAATTTGTCAATTACAAAACGCAATTCACATGAGACCCAAATGCGACCGGAGAGAGCTTCAACGACCAATAAGATTCAAATTGATTTTTTTGAATGGGCTGGCCAGTGCCGGATTTATTACTGAAATGCCAAATACTCCTGTGTCTGGTGAGGCAGAGTATATGATTTAGCATTCATTATTGGTACTCAGATCATGTCTCTATCTGGTTTGTTCCTCATCTGGTTTGCATTTCTAAATCATGACAACATGATGATACTTTGTGTTATTTTTCTTGAAATTGTTGCTATGATATCTAGTTATAAGAACTTCAATAAACTCTCATCTCTTAGGATTAAGAGATGGATCGTGGAGGTAAGTTCTAATACTTGCCTTTATTATTTTTCTAAAGATCTATTATTTAAAGGACACAATGGGAATAAGAGGCAATATGCTGCTGCTGAGAAGCTAAAAACACAGAAAATAGATCCAACACACACACAACAATATTTGAAGAATGCACAAGATGGACAGAGTATGCAGATCTGATCATCTGAGGACTAAGAAATTTATTTAGTATACAGTAGTAGATCACCTCTTACAAACACAACAATTTACAATAACACATCCAGAATCAGCCACTCCATTAATTTAGCTTCGGATCCACCCCCAACAGACTTCAATGGTGGCTCTCTGCATTACCACAAGTTAACAAAACCAATACCCAATATTATTAGCTGCAATTAATTCTCCCATACATATATATATATATACACACACACACATATGTATGTACTTGTACCTGGCAAGTACGTCGCCTCCGATGGGATCCGGGATGGGGAGGAGACCGGACGGAACTCCTTCTGGACGTGAGCCACCTTTCGGAAGAAAGATTTCTTGATGAGTTTATCAGCTTCCTCCACCACATGATCAGGCTCCACCAACTCCGGCAACGTCTCCCTCCTCGACTTCTTCACGAACACGCTGGGGCAGTACTTCAACGTATGCAAGGCAGTCAACATCCCCAATGTCGTCGACAATATTACCATCCCTATTGCCACGTACACCGGCACAAAATCACCCCTCACTGGCCTGGGTGTCAAAACAATCACAAATATATATATATATATATATATATATATAGATATATAATACTCCCTCGGCGGGAAAATGTTCTGAGTCACGTTTTCCCAAACACTATATTTTTTTGAGACGGAAGTTGTAATATAACTACTGAAATCAAGCTCTCTTAAACTTTGACAAGTTTTACCCGTATTGGAATTTGAAGAGCACTTGGACACTAGAGATTAATTTCAATCAATTAATCAACTGTGAACTGACCTTGTTTTAATGTCATGAACAAGTCCAAAATGGTCGGCGGGGGCATAGGCTTTCATTTTTGGTGAAGTTGAGGTGGCGAAAGAAGAGCTTCCTCTTAGGCGATTCACCATCGATTTCCAATGATTCTGCAACATTGCACAAACAAGAAGTAAAACAGATACATGAACTATATATATATATATATATATATATATATATTCGCGTAGAGAGAGTCTTTGATTACACTCACCGATGACCTGAAAGCCATGATCAACAAAAACAGAATGCGTATTTTGAGCAATATGAGAAGGAGAAAGTGATTCCAGAGAAAGTGATTCCAAGCTTGCCAGCTGCTCGCTGTTTGGAGATTCTGGATAAGTATGCATATGTGTGTGTGTTCATCATATATATAATATAGAAGTGGCTAAGAAGATGATTCTGGAGACACCTAGCGAAGCATACATCCAGATTGTGACACGTGTCATAAGTACACAGTGAGCGTGGAAGCCTCATGAAGCAACATGTCATCCAAACTACAAACAGTACTAATATATATATATATATATATAATAATTGAATATTTATTGAAATACGGAAAACTATGAGAGGACGGGCCAAGGCCCTTATAACCTGGAAGAAAAACCATATTAAGACAGAACCTGGCCACCCCAACAAGACCAAACAAAAAGCCCAGAAGGCTCAGCCCCAACCTGTCCATGAATCAAATTTTGGTTTAATGAAATGAATATTTAATTCGTTAATTTGTTAGTCATTAAATTTATACGAGTACTATGTGTTGATTAGATAAGCAAAACTGAGCAAGGGAGGTGATTCACTATCAAAAATGGGTAAGAAGATGATTCTGGAGACACCTGGCAAAGCATACAAGCAGATTGTGACACATGTCATAAGTACACAGTGAGCGTGGAAGCCTCTTGAAGCAACATGTCATCTAATCTACAAACAGTACCAATTTATTTATATATATAATAATAATTGAATATTTATTGAAAGACAGAAAACTATGCAAGGGCGGGCCAAGGCCCTAATAACCTGGAAGAAAACCATATTAAAACAGAACCTGGCCAGCCCAATAAGAGCAAACAACAAGCCAGACGGCTCAGCCCCAACCTGTCCATGAATCAAATTTTGGTTTAATAAGTTCCTCGGATATGAATTGAATATTTAATTTGTGAATTTGTTTGTCATATGAAATTTATAATATATAAAATTGTTGAAATTAAGAAAGTTATGTTTTTGAATTTACACTTATTTATCTCTTTCGTAATTGCATAAACGACACTTGCAAAACAAAGCTTTAAAATAAAGTTAGGATGGGGTTAGTTGCGCCAAATCGAAATTAGTTTGGAATTAAATTGAAATTGTAATTTTACGAATTCAATTTCAAATTCACAATTTTAATAACTTTAGAATTCAAGTATATTGAATTTCAATTCTAATTTTTTTGTTTGTATGGGCCGGAAAGCACCAATTCCAAAAATAAAGAGAACCATGGGTCAGTTTGATGGTTTAAACAACTAATATCATCTCCATTTCAAAAACTTCTAAAGAAAACACTAACCAAAAATGAAGAAAGAGAAATTTCGGAAGAGCACCCACTCTTGAAAATTAAGGTGCAGTTTTATAGACAGTTAAATGGCAGAGCTGATCTCTAAAGCTTATTGAAGAGTCTAAAGTTGGCTAACAATCAAACTAAAATGTTGATCCAAAAATCAAAATTGTGAATGCAAACAATATCATATGCTAAGGGTCAAGGGTTCAAATCCTCCCCCTAGCACCAAAATTTTTTACCTCTACTTTTTATAGTAAATTTTTTTAACCGGGTTGATCTAGTGGTAAAATCATCTGTGTTTGGGTGCTTACTCACACCAAGTTGGGGGGTTCGATTCCCATTAAAAGCTTACAACAATTTGGGACCACGCCTCTGCTACCATACTCAGCGATTTACCCGGCCCGGGGTAGGGAGGCGCCCTTCTTGGGTCCTCGGGGATTAGTTGAGGCAAAGCCTCAGATACCCCGAGTGATCCAAAAAAAAAAAAACATCATAAAGAAGAGAGTATCCGACACCAACGGAGAAAAATGTCTTTTGCAAGGCTGCAAAATGTCTGTTTTGCATCCTTGCCACAAAATATAGTGTCATAATCTATATATGAAGATGTTAATTATTGATAAAATGAGATGAAATAGTGACGGAAGAGAGATTTAATTCTCATTGTTGGTCGTAGGAACCCACCCCAAATCGAAACTTCAACTTGAAGCCAAGTGCAAAGTTCTTGACGTCACAACTCGAAAGAGTTTATGCAATTCACCCTAATTTATTCATTATTTTACTATTTCTTCTTTTCTTTTTCTTTTTTTCACCCTAGTTTATTAATTATTACTCTTTCTTGGAGCCTAAACTTATCCACATGACATTGTTCCTTATCCATGGTTGATTATGAAAAAAGGAAGAAGATATCTCTTGGCTTTTGACTGATTATGGTACTTTCCAGAATTGCTCCTCAATGTCTCCCACTACATTGATTAGTGCCATTGGACTCATCATTGATTCCCTTAAGCATGCCATTTGAATGGGGATGGTGCAAAGTGATTGTACTAAAAGAGAAAGGAATATTTTAGTTCTCATATTCTCTCTTCACACTCATCCATTTCGCTGCTTTAACTGCTTTAACAAACCTTTACCATTTATTTATACTCTTTCATTATCCACTTTTGACAAAGCAACCAACCTGTTAACCAACTTTTGCCCCATCTTTCTTTCCTAAAAATTCTATAAATCAATTCTCTCTCCCTAAAGTAATGGAGAGAGAATTGATTATATATAAAAAAAAATATTAAAAAATAAAAAAAATTTCTTAGTGGAGGATAGGTATGATCTATTGACCTTATATGAGAAATGTGATCCTATCTGTTGAGAAGCTTCTCTATGTTTACTTAATTGCAAAAGCACTACATTATGGAGAGGTGGTTATATATTTCAGAATAGGAGGGAAGGAAGCAACAACATTTCTGTGTACGTGTGAACTCAGGCGATCCTATAACGACCGAGATGTGGAGGAAGAAAAGAAAGAAGATGGTGAAAACTGTGGTTGCAGACACCCTCTTCGACGTTTGATCGAATGCAGTAAAGGGTATGGTGCTATAAAGGCAAGTCTAAAGGCAAAGGGAAGGCTATGCCTTTCTTCTATGTTTTCCGAAGTTTTTATGTTTCTTTCCTAGCTTAAATGTACCGGTGTTTTAGCTCGTTGTGTCTGTGCTAGAGGATAGAGTTCAGCTATGCATAGCTATGGAAAATCTTCATAATAAGTGGTTTCTTGACTCTATACCATTTGCAGCTTCTTTCTAGTACTACTACTACTATTTCTTGCTTGTATTTCTTCCTTATTCAACAATTTACTCTAGATATGAAGGCAATGTTAGTATTGAAACAACAAATAATACAGGGAAATAGAGTAATCAATAAATCAACTTCTAGCTCTTAGTTTGATGATAATTTGGAATCAAAACAAAAATACTGAGATTAATCTGCTAGCCAAGTATTATAGTTTACATAGATATACATGCATACATATGAATACATATATAAACATATACATATGATATCTGTGTAAACATAAGCATACCTGTGCATATGTGTCTGCGCATATTAACTCTGCAAGAACCACAATTTCTCATTCTCTAGTCTTTCATTTGATACCTACCTCAAATACAGATATGAGATATCAGCATGCATCCGTTGTTCTTCCTAGCCCTTTCGACGCCAACCCCACTCAATCACAAGCGCTAATGTATATAAATTTCACCTTCGTACTTGTTCAAGGTGTAGGTGCAATATATATGTATATATATTTGTATGTGGATAAGTATTTGGAAGATCGAATTGATGGGGATGTTTAATTACATGAGAGTGAACCAAACAAGCTCAAATTGTTTGTTGTGGTAAGGATAGTCCATTCACTTTTCATCTGTTAGGAGTCCGAACTATGCAAATCATCGGTTTCACGTAGGAAAAAAAGTCATCTGCAAACTGAATGTGAAACATAGGAGGTGCCCCTTCAATTTGATGCAACTTAATTATTTGTGTGGGTTGATTTTTCAAGTTTTATTAGCAATTCATTATGGCTTAGAATTTGATTTTATAGTTGTAAATATAGATATTAATACTCATCTGGTTCATATATACAACGACAGGCACGTACACAATTCAAAACTACTCGAGTTATTCAAAAGCACTTTCTGACAGCGCGCTCCAAGCAATGGGTATGATTCAGTTATCAGATTTATAGAGGTACTTTAGAAGCTTAGATTGTTAGGAGTGTAGACTAGAGTTTCTTCAAAACCTTAAATTTTTAACACTTCCCCTCACGTGTAGTCGATATATAAATTAATTGAAATTATTAGGATGATGGTGAGAGACATACATTAATTGTAATTATCAAGATGTCGGAAAAATTCGCGCTCAAATTATTGCATTCGATAAGTAGCCACCATCAATAGTAAACAATAATCTGGTCTTCAGTAAATATATATCCTTAACAGAGAAGAAGGAAATTAAAGAATGAACTATTCATTATTAATATCCTGTCAAGAAAATGAACTAGTTTTAGAGACGAGAAAAATAAAAGATCCCCTTTTTTGCTACAGAAAATTCATTATATAAGATTTATGTAACGTTTTTGTTTTCCTGTCAGACCTATAATTTTATGATACATGTTAGGATAAACTAATAAAATTAGGACCATCAATAGGTCAGTTAAGGGGAAAAAAAAACATCAATGTTGTGCTGACATAGTTAGACATATACAAAGTTGAGTGAACAGTAAATGCATGACTGCTTTGAAAATCACCTCTCCATAAATAGTATGTTGAACCAATTTCCCATGTATGCTGGTGTGCAACACCATAGATGATTGGGCTAAAAACACAGAACCCCCCTCTTGTTTCCAAAAACTTCATACAACTCTTCAATTATCAAACAATCCCTGAATTAGCAAAAATCCTTACTGTGACGGAATCGTTAAGTTATTAGGAAATAACAATAATGCCCTTGATAGTATATTAAAATTTTATTAAACTAAAATTATAGTGTGGAAAGGGCAATTTCGTCATTACGAATTACAAGGTTATTTTGGTCAGCAAAATGATGCAATTATTGCACGTGATTGGTTCGTGATATGAACCTGTTAGTTTTAGATGGAAAACTAATGGGGAAGGGGTGATATGATAGACTTTTTAAGGCATTAGAGGGAAATATGATAATTTCTTTAGTTGAGGGGGTTAGTTGATAGTTTTCGGAAATAAGAGGGGAGTTTTATGATTTTAGCCTTAGATGATATTTTTTTTCCCTGGAAAACAAAATCAATATAGAAAAAGAGAA